GTACTGTGGTCTAGGGCAGCAAGGCATCCCAAAGGTCCCTGGCTGTGCCAGCTAGCCAAGCTGCACAGGTCTGCCTAAGACCACGCCCAAACCCATCTGTCACCAGAAGACGACCATGAAACTCATGGCTCTGCCTGCCATGCTTGCTTTGGGTCCGCTGTCCTTTCCCAGAGGCTGCTCACCTCCCTGCAGCAGCAATGTGTCATGGGGGGGGGGAGAGGTGATGGGAGCAGATTTCACAAATAAACCACTAATTTTGGATTTCCTGATTATCACAACCCAAGAGTCAGTTCTGCCCAGCTCAGTTCTTTAGCCTTGAAGAAAAGCAAACAACTACAAAATGCTAGTATAGAAAACCCCTCCAACAGCTGGAGCTGTGTAGATTGCTTTTTCTTACAGTCTAGTGCAATAGATAACATCAGTGTCTGAAGCACTGCCCAACCAGGAGTTCACATTTAAGAGGTATTTTGCAACAACATTAATTATTCCCTCTCCCTGCCATTGCACCCCTCCCTATCTACACATGATATACCTCACATTTCTGTTCACACCAGAGCCATAGATACTTTCCCTCCCTCCCAAAGCCAGTCAGCCCAGCTGAGAGGCGTATATAATGAATCAAAGTGATATTTAACAGCTGTAGTAATTTTTTCCTGCCTTTTATGTTTTGCCTTTAAGTCTACTCATCTGCTTTGCATTTTTACAGATTTTGTTTTAACTATGCTCTAATGAAAACACACATACACAAGCGATTGCTCAGAAAGTGAATTACAAATATCCACTCAAATAAAGAAATTATGTAAAATGTTAAACTCTATGCACACAGAAGTATGCAATAAGCAAAAAATAGCTGCTGGGGAAAATATTTAAGGAAATCATTTCATTGTGTTAGTGGTAGAAATGATTGCCTTTTGAAAGCATTATTAGTAACAGATGTATATCTTCTGATAAAATGGAGGACATACTGTGATATTAAGAGGTCACCACACACTATATAAACTCTAGAGGGACATAAAAACCTCAGATCATTGAAGACTAGATGAGTTAATCTTTTAGCACATGAATTAAGAGACTAGCCACCCAGGTTTTTGTGCTAGCTCTTAACAGTTCAGGAAAATGTCAGGCTTTTATAAAGCACTCAGGATTTTCAGCATTTTTTTTCCAGCATGCAGTGATTATATCAAAAACTCCACCAGATCTTTCACCCCCTAGGACTGCAAGGAAGTTTAATTTAAAAAAAATCCAGGATGAAATTGCCTTATAAAATGCAGTTATTGAAAATAACAATAATCCAGAAGAATAAAGTTGTAAAACAGGTACCTGCTATAATAAAGAATTAAAACAAATTAACGTGAATTCACATCCCTATTTTTATCCTCTACCCCATGCAAGCTAGTGCCACCTCCAGCTTCTGTGATCAGTGGCAATTTGGGACAAGACAAGAACACATTGAGCAAAGCAAGTTACTTGTTGTGCCTCACCAAGGCAAGCCAAGAAAGACCTACCTCCAAGCAATAAAAATCACATCATTTACTGTCTTAAACCCACTTTTCTCACCAAGCCAGAGACTTACTGTTGGCTCAATCAAACCAGATCTGAGCAGAGTTTTAGTTCAAATCCCACAAAACCCTCACAAGAATCAAATTATCTCCACAAAAAAAGTTGTTGTCCTTGCTTCTCCTCCAAGACCATCCTCTACAGGAAGACCATCTCCTCACCCCCCCCTCCCTGCAAGCACCCCATCCTTCTCCTTTACTACCAGCATACTGTGGAGGGGGGGGGCGGATATAAGGGAAAGCCCTGATCAGGAACATCTGTGCTTAAATGCTCCTCTTTTCCGTAAGTTGTCAGTCAGTCTCTAAAGACATTGGCCACTTCTTTCTGCAAGACTTTGCTGTCCCTTTTTTTTCTAATAATATTTTGAGTCACTGTGATTTTTAGGATGGCTTTGGGGAAGCGTGATACTAAAACTTGACTCTTGTTGATAAACAAGTCCCTTTGCTTTCATATAACAAAAAATACAGAGGAAGCTTCTACACAGGAAGCTGGAAATAGACCTGGAGGCCTCCTACAGGCTAAAATGGAAAACAAGGCGACTGAAAAGAACAGCCAACTTATTATTGCTTGAAACATGCACTGTGTTTCCCCATTGGCCAGGGCAAATAAACCAAACCTGTGATTGAGTGTTTTTAGTATACTGTGATATCCAAGTTTATCTCATGGTGTCCTGAGGGCTGACTCATGACTTTCAGCATTTTGGGTTTGCCAGGGTCGAGGAACATAAAATGCAGACAGTTTCTCTGCCACAAGGCTCCGGGGCTTCTGGAGGAAGCTAGCAAAGATGGGCTCAGTCCCAGCTCTCCCCCAGGCTCCTTGTTTGAACATTGTCAAGATGGTTCTTCAAGGAGTTTCCAGCCAAAGCATCCCTAAAGATGTAAATGTAGATCCACCACTGAGTTTGGAAATCCCATTCAATGTAAAGCTCCATTGCCCACAGCTGCAGGGGGTTGTGGGGGGTGTTGTGGGCAGGGGAGATTTTGTAACACCAGGGAGATTTGCTTTCCCTTCTGCTGCTTTTCACAGCTGTAAACAGCCCCATAACACTCTCCACAACTGCTCAGTGTTCAAACCAAAAAATCCCCAAATGTTTGCTTTGCTCCTGTCATTTATTAGCTGGCAAGACATTAATTTTCACTGGTTTATCTTGATGCTCTGTTCGCCTCCAGCTGTTGTGACTGCAGAGGGATAGGATGCCAGCAGCTAATAAACAGGATGATAACATAACTTTCTACATTTCAGAAAAGAAATACTAGCACTTTTACAGCATACATTACTTTAACAGGCCATTTTTCAATAGCATACATTTTATTTCACGTTTTTCATTCATTGCTAGCAGCATTTTTTACTCCAAATGGATGGTGCAAGGCAAGCCTGTCTCAAAAAACTTGCAGCTCTTTCATAAACCTCTTCTGACCAGAGGAGAGATGTTCTGATGGGGTTGGATGGGTGGTTGGATAGGTAGTTGTCACAAGCTCAGCGCTTTTTGCAAACCTCAGCTCTGGGAACTACAGAACTTTCTGTATTCATGTGCTCAGGGAAGGAACCCTGCAGCAGTGCCCATTGCTAATCCTACACCCATGGAAGTCCAGCTTTCCCCTCCCCATAAGCGCTTTGGGTGTACCTAGGTTTTCTGGGAGCAAGCTGTAAATCAGGGACACAGTCCAGCAGAGCAGGTTTGATCCCAGTGGAGGCACTGGGAGGTTTGGCTTGGACTGAAACAGCCAGGGGGATGGATGGGTGCCAGCTAACAAGGATGATTTTTTAGTCTTTTTATGAATGATAGCAATACTTTTGGGCTGCAACAGCTGCCTTCACAAATTGAGAAGTTGCCAATAACAGGGAATACTTGTCATGGCTTAATTAATGCTGCATGCTATCTGCTGGGTCTGGGTGCCCATTAGATATCTCTTCACCTGGTGCTGTTCTTCTTCTTATTATTATTAGGCACAAATGTGGGGGGGGGAAAGGTAGATGCTAGCTTTTGCCTGACTCATGCTACATGATATTCATAAATGCTGTCTGGAGGACATGGAAGAGCAAACACTGCAAAGTCCTTCTCCCAAGAAGGACCAGACCCCAACCCAGCTTTGACACACAGGGAGCCAGTGGAAGTGTCAGGATTGTGTCAGGTTTCGGAAAATTAAGAGGATGGAGGATGCTGGCCCCTCCTTTCGATTAACCCCCCTCTGATAGCGCTGAGGAGTGGAGAGGGACTAGCTGTTCAGATGTTTCTTTCTGAATTTTCCCTAATTCCAGGCACTTGGTTCTGTTTTTGGCTGTGCCATCTGTGTAACTACCATGGATTTCCTTAAAGTGGGGGTCAGTCTTTCCCCCAGCCCTCTTAGGCTCTTATATTGGTTATAACTCTCTTGATCGATGGAGTTGGCAAGGATGGTAGTTAGAAAATTGTGGGGGGGGTTAAATTTTTTTTTGTTTTTGATGATGACCTGGTTAATAGCTTGATGTGTTTGAATCACTTTTGGCTCCTTTGAGTAATTGAGTTCCTTTTGGGGAATGAAATGTATTAAATCACTGCATTCCCTTTTGGGAGGATATTTTCTCAGTTAAGAAAGCCTTGCTGGTTTCTGCTCTGGAGGCTTGGAATTGAAGATTAAATAATAAATTGTCTATCTCTATGACAACAGATACACAGCTTTCCTGAAGGAGACATTGTTTCAGAAGGCTTGCCAGGTAGATCACAGATAAGAAACTTGCATAAATTATATTTTTGGCTCCAAGATGTAAAATATTGTTCTTGGTGCCTTTCTGAAATGCAATCAGCCAGTGGAGGCTATTCCACTGCTGGGGCTGCAAGCAAAAGTCCAAGGGCTTTTTGCTGTACAGCCAGATAGTGCAGCCCACTTGGGTCTAGAGTAATTAAATTTCCATTTGTAAGTTCGGGACAGCTGAAAAGGTGAGCTGAGGCAAAGAGAGATGTTCAGGGCAATTATTATTATTATTATTATTATGGTGTCTGTAAAAAATAAAATAAGAGCAATAGCAAGAGGGAATGTGTTGGCCAAGATGTTTCAGTTGGTCATCCATGACTGAGGAGGACAGGTGAGAGACCATCATATATTTTGAGGATTGGTGGTAGAAACCTAGGCTGACCATTTTCCTATATATTAGGTATTGCCTGGGACAACATAGGCAAGAAGAAAGCCATCTAAGTCCACAGGGGTGATTAAATGCCAATTATGCGAGTGATGATTCCTCTTCCAAAGAAATGCTTGCTGTGAAACAGACTCTGTCCATCATTAAAGTATTTTTTTCCTGCCAGAGTGCCACAAAACCCCATGGTTTGTCTTTTCTATCCCATGCCTCATCTGTGCCTGGCCAGCACTGATGCTGTTTCTCACTCCCTGTTTTTCTCCCTTAGGTCTCACATTGGGTGCTTTGAAATAACGAAAATAAAAGGAAAGCTCAGATAAAAGACCAAAATGAGGAAACATCGACACTTGCCCTTTATCGCAATGTTCTGCCTCCTGCTCTCAGGCTTTTTCTCGGTTCATGCCCAGCAGCAAGCAGGTAAGACCGGACTGCTTTACCCAACTTTGCCCCTGTACAAATGGGCTGCTAGCTCCCACCGATACATTCGCAACATTTGGGTTTTAACGTGCATGTTGACAGTACATTGTGGTTTATCTTCTGCTCCTCAGCTCCCTGTTGGCTGAGGGCCCTTTTGGACCCAAACCTTGGCGTGGTGCCTTCCCAAGCATGTCACTGGCCAGTGGCATGCCTTTGAAGATCCTCTGCGAGGGATGGGGGTGTGGGATGTGCACCCAGGGTGGTCCCGAGTGAGTTTTCCCTGGGCAGAGATGGTTTGGCCTCCTTGCATGTGTAGGAGGACATTTTGCAGATTCTGAGACCGACACTGCCATCAACCTGCAGAAACGCTGTTTGGGTTTTTTTTAAGAGGAGACACTGGTGTCTTTGGGACCATCACTGGTGTCACAAGGGGGTGTTAGCAGCAGGAAAAGTATGAAAAACTCATGCCAGCACCTAGGCTGCTTAAACTGAGCAGCTCTTTCTTCCTTGAGCACCACCACAAAGCCAGAAAAGCCCTGAGACAGCAAAAAAACTCACAGGGTACCATGGGTGGTTTGAAGCTGAGCAAGTCCAAATTCACATGTGAAGCTGCAGGTGTCTTTGTCTGGCTCAGGGCTGGCATGCAAGCCTGTGCAGCGAGGGTCTGTAGGGGAAAAGCATCTTGCCTCCCCCTCCCTGGGAAGGGTAGGTCGCCTGCTGTCCCCTCCTGTCCCCCGACACCTGCGGTGTCAGGACACTGATGGCTTCCCAGTTCTTCCCCTGTGCTTCTTGTTTTGCTGTGGGAGATAAGGGGAAGCTAATCTTCACTTCATCATGCGAAAGAGGCCGTTGATAATTTGGGCGAGGAGGAGGAGAAGGAGGCGTGCTTGTGTTGATCGATAGAAAATCCTAAACTTCCATCTGTTTTTTTAAAGCTGTCAAAACCGTTGCTGTGGCTGATATAATATTTCTAGTGGATTCCTCTTGGAGCATTGGGAAGGAACATTTCCAACTGGTTCGAGAGTTTCTGTATGATGTTGTAAAAGCTTTAGATGTGGGAGGAAATGATTTTCACTTTGCCTTGGTCCAGTTCAGCGGAAACCCCCACACAGAGTTCCAGTTAAATACCTACCCCTCTACCCGAGACGTCCTGTCCCATATTGCCAACATGCCTTACATGGGGGGAGGCACCAAGACTGGAAAAGGATTAGAGTACCTAATCGAGAACCATCTCACTAAAGCTGCTGGAAGCAGAGCCAGTGAAGGCGTCCCCCAGGTTATTATAGTGTTAACGGACGGACGATCCCAGTATGATGTGGCTCTGCCACCATCTGTCCTTAAATCGGCCCATATAAACATGTTTGCAGTCGGCGTGCAGGATGCAGTGGAAGGGGAGTTAAAGGAAATAGCAAGCGAACCCTTCGATACGCACCTTTTCAACCTAGAGAATTTTACTGCTCTCCATGGCATAGTTGGAGATTTAGTGGCAAGTGTCCATTCATCCATGACTCCAGAAAAGGCTGGGGCCAAAGGACTGGTTAAAGACATCACAGGTAATGGCTGACTGCTGATGGCTCCCATCAGCATGGTATCTGCTAGCATTGCTCTGTTTAAAGCCTTTGTAGGGACAAGACTGAGATGGACGTTCAGAGGTTTAAAAACAAAGGTTTGAAGTGTGTGGCCCCGTGTTTGTAGGTATTGAGCGTGACATCGTCTGCAGACTGAGCTGGCATCCCTGCCGGAGCTGCCAGGAGGTAGCACAGGAGTCCTTGGATGGGCAACGGCCCATTGTGGCCACCTTTTTGCTCCCATGGCATGGAAATGCAAATGCAGGGAGCTCTGAAGAATTACTAAATTGCCCCATCCTATCCACTCCCAAGGCAGGGAAATAGGGAAGGAACAGATCAGCCGTGATGGAGGCTCTTTGAGGTCCTGACCGAAAACCCTCTGGAGACCAAGAAGGTCGCTGCTGGCTGCGGGGACACCATGCAGGATGTCCTCTTGCAGGTAGCGGGGGAGATAGGTGATGCGCTACTCCAGAAAGTCACATTCTTGGCTGAAGACATCAAAAGCAGTTCAGTGGAGAACTTCTCTGCTGAAACCCCATCCCTGAGGCAGCCCTTATCCTCTCTCCTCATCCGCTTGGAGGAGGTGTGTGGTTGGAAAGTCTGTTTTGCATGCCACTCAAATGCCTGCTTTACAAGCCAATGGCTTCCACCTGCCAGAGCACTGGACCCTTCCTGTAAGCAAAACTTCTCTGCAAACCATGTTGACTTCGACAAATCTGTGTTGAACACAAGCCGGGGGCCCAATTTGCCTGGAAAAAAATAAGACAGTCTTCCTCCATCCCTTCTCTGGTTATGAATTTTCAGTGTGGAAAGGGCCTTCGGAGCAGCTTTGTTGTGTTTCAAAACAGAAGACCCAGAGATCAAACCTTTCTTTTTATTCCTGAGACTCCATCTGAAGGTCAATAACTTGTGTGGTGATGTAAGGCAACGGCAGTGTAATGAGGCAGCGTAACATTAATCTCCCTGTGTTGTCTTGCCTGATTAACCCTCACGCCAGCCCCCCTGGGTGCTCTCCATCACTGCATGACACCGAGCAACACCAAAAGGCTGTGCTCATGTGTGTTTTTATTGTGCAAAGTGCTTGACAGGGTAAATATCCAGATCACATGAAAGCCACAGAGAAGAAAAGCAGAGGCCCCAGAAAGATGACATAAATTTTGCCAGTTCTAAGAAAATCATGTCAATGTATGTATACCCAACCCACTGACAGCACTGCAGTAGCTGTTAGTCACCTTCACCATGAAGGGCCCCAGTGCTTCCCTGTTGAAATCAACAGAGGAATTGGTCTTTGGCAGCTGACTGTCTTCCTCTGGGGCATGCCAGCAGGTAACTCCATAGTACAGAAACATCTGGAGTCACAGACATCTGTTTACAAGCTTTAAAGGCAAATTCCTACTTTATGTATATAATGCATTTCCAAGTTTGTTTCTACTCAAAGATACTTTTTGCAAGCATTTCCTTCCCCCCTTATAACACAAATTTTAGCTAATCCTACTATTGTCATTTTGCCCCTGTGTGACTTGCATGGGCAATCTATGGAGCATCATTAAACATGGGAAAAGATGTTACAGATCCTAAACATTGGATGACAATAATGTGCAAAGCATGGTACAAATAACTGTTTGCATAAGAGTTTAAGAAGCCATTTATTCAGCTGATAACTCCATGTATCATTAAAATGTATAAAAGTGCCATGGATGTTATGCTAGAAGTGAGCCCTAATATGAAACAGAAATGTAAAAAACCACCAGTCCCATAGTACTTCCAGTATAGTGTACCAAAGTTGTTGGTCTGTGGCAGTCCCCAGAGCTGACTAAAGTATGAAAGTCAGCCCCAAGCTTGCCCTGATGTATTCGTTAAACCTTAGCTGTCTGTCTCATCTGCCCCTCCTTGCTTAGTTGTGTAACAAGCATGCTTTTATTTGTTCTCGAGCACCAGCTTGTTCCATAAATATGCACTGAAGTACCAGGTTTTTTTACAGTGATGACAAATTATCCAACGCATCTGTTTCATATCTATTTTCTTTCCTGTGGGAGTGACCTGTGCTGCTGTGATGGCACCCACTGGTGTCTGAAATCTTGTTCCTCAAAAAGATGTCCAGAATATCTAAACAGTGCTGGGTACAACTGCTTTGAGGTCTCCCTTTCTTTTATATGATGAAGAACAACATGTACATCCCAATTGAAAATGGCACAGTAAAGACAACCCTAAGCATCCCTAAATTTCCACTCGATGGAAAAATATATCCTGGAGCCCTTTGCAATTCTGAACTGTGTTGATATTCTCCAAGCCAACACTGGCTATTGAGTTAGCCCAGAGAATCAATGATGCCCTGGAGACCTTCTCCTTTGTTGCCAGAACAGTAGCATCATTTGAATCTCTTTGTGGCATTGTGATGTATGAAAGCAACTACTAGAAAACCTACTAAATAGGCAAAAAAAGATTGACACTGATGGTAAATAGCGAAGGCTGCAGGTTTATCCCTGGCCTTGCTAAACTACATGCCACTTTTGCTACTGGTTTCACCTTTGGCTTTCCAAAGTTGCGAGCTGAGTGGGATTTCCGAATGTTTCTTGTCACTCATTTTCAAATAATCTGAAATTTGATTTCTTAACAAGATTGGAGAGTAATAGCATGGAAACATCTGAGCATGCTCTGGGGTCTTCTTTCCCCCATTTTTGCATACATACAGCTCTTGGTGATGTTGATGATAAAATTAGCTGAGCAAAAGGAGTAAGAGCAGACCCCAGGGAATTTTGGGTCTGCTTTGGTAAGTCTCACAGCAAAAATGCCTCCTCTCAACAACCATGTTCATGCCATACAAAAGTTTTGTTTGGTGTTTGTATATTCTCAGCAGATGCTTGTGATCATCTGGGTATGCTCACAACAAATAGAGTTGGATAATTGTGTCATGACTGATTTCATCACCCTATTTTAACCTGATTCTGCATTCCTTGATTGAATATCCAGAGTCCGTATGAAAAATACAGACCAGACTCCTCTATCAATAATCAATGCATCTTTGTGCAAAATAATTAAAGCAAGACAATTTTTGCATGGCATGGGTTGAAAATTGTGTGGGTCAGCTTGCTGGACAAACACCATAGTGTGTATGCTGGCAGCTGGTAAAAGAGTTACAGTGCAAGAATAATAACAAAAATATTTTCAAGTGTTTCTAACAAATGCATTTCAAATAATAATCCTTCATGGTGGGAGAAGCCAATGTATTCAGCTGCTTTTTTTAACCACAAAAGAGCAGAATTGCAACAGAGAGTCTGAAACTTTCCACACACCCAGTAAATGGTGGCTATTTTCTTCCAAAAAAAAAAAAAAAAAAAAAAAGAGACTGCAATGAAGAAAACCTCTTACAACTATTCATGTCCTCACCTCTTATCTTCAAGGTGAATTACCACCAAAATACACCTTTTTCCTTTGGCTCTGTCAAAATACTTGGGCAGTACTGGCCACTGGTGGAAAGGATCTAGATTTCCAAAAACTGTATTTTGCCAAGTTTTCTCCTCATGTGCAAATAACGCTGACATCTGTGTAACTGCAGCCACCAGCTTGGGTTGTGTCCACTCAAGCCATCTCTTGGTGCGTAGCGGATGCTATTGGGATGAGGCTGGGAGCTCATATTCAATCAGAATGCAGAACTGAGAGGCAAACATCACCTCCTCAGTGAACATGTGTTTTGTTTTCTCATTTTCGTGTTTCTTACTGGTTTTCCAAGAAACATGTCAGAACACTGTACAACTGCATGTAATCACTCATTTTAATGCTTTCACCTTTTGCGTTTCTTTTTTTAAAGCTCAAGAGCCCGCTGACCTTATTTTCCTTATTGACGGATCAAACAACATCGGAAGTGTCAATTTTCAAGCCATACGTGATTTCCTTGTAAATTTGATTGAAAACCTCAGAGTTGGAGCTCAGCAAATACACATTGGGGTGGTGCAGTATAGTGATCAACCCAAAACCGAGTTCGCTTTGAACAGCTACTCCACAAAAGCGGATGTTCTGGATGCCGTGAAGGCACTTAGTTTCCGCGGTGGCGAGGAAGCGAACACCGGTGCGGCACTGGAGTTTGTGGTGGAGAACCTCTTCACCCAGGCGGGAGGCAGCAGGATAGAGGAATCGGTGCCTCAGATTTTAGTGCTCATAAGTGGTGGAGAGTCTAGTGATGATATCCGAGAGGGCTTGTTAGCGGTGAAGCAAGCTAGTATATTTTCATTTAGCGTTGGGGTCCTGAATGCTGACAGTGCAGAGCTGCAGCAGATTGCTACTGGTGGAAGCTTCGCATTTACTGCCCTGGATATCCATAACCTTGATGGTCTTCAAGAATTATTACTACCCAACATTGTTGGAGTGGCCCAAAGACTCATTTTGTTAGAGGCCCCAACCACTGTGACTGAAGGTATGTATGCCTTTCTAGACTGTTGCATTTCGATGAATCAACTACTGAATGAGCTTTTGCACGCTTTAAAAACATATTTATTATTTTAATCTAATATTTTTTATTTTTGCAATGCATCTTTCTGGTCTGGTTATGGAGAAACAGTGGGAAAGACAAATAGTCCTGCGGCTAATGTGCAGAAACTCATTTACCCAGGGGGTTATGTTTTGAAAACTGAGGTTTTGGGTCAATAACTGGGATGGCACAGAGGACATGAGGAGGACACAGAGATAAAAAGCTCATATAATCCTTATTGGGGTATCTAAGCACCCTGGAGGTAAATACTGCTGCACTGTCTGTTCTGAAAACATTTATGCCATGTAAGCTTACATTATATGTCAGTTGAAAGTATCATGAGAATGAAATTTAACTGAGGAAGCTAACAGGGATGTTAAACGGATCCCTTTCAAAGAGCTGAATTTATCGGCTTGCTAAAACAGTAAAATTCTGTGCCACATTGAAACTGTGCACTATCCTTAGGAAAAGGGTGAAATTCCTGTGTTGTTGAACTTAAAAGCAGAACAGCCCTTAGTTCTTCTGAAGTGAAATCCCTACCTTGATAACACGTATTCCCCTTCAATTGGTAAGCTGAGAAAGTTTACAGCTTTCCATGAGGCCATGGGAAATGAAAACATAGCTGTCAATATTCCACTTAGGTCACTTTGTCACTCTTAAGTCCCCATTGACATTATTTCTGGACTAGCATTAGCTTGGGTGCAGTAGAATAGTGTCTGGAGCAAGGAGGTGATTAAGAGTTTCTCACCCTGTGGTTTTATGACTAAGTTAAATTTACTGATAGAGAAGCTTTATGAAAGACACAATATGTCATATTTCAGAGGCCTTTGGAAAGGGCCAGGCTGGAGTTGCTGCACTTAATTACCAGGACTCTTAATGCAAACAACTCTTTTGGGATCCAGGTGGCAGTCTGGAGTTCTGTACATACTGTTCAACTCATGATATATGTTGACATACAAAACTGCATTCCAGATGCCTTCACTGATCTATGTCCAAACATGATTGCTAACCTGTTGCTCGAATCAAAGGGGGAAATTTCGCTAAAAGATCATTTCATGACCTTGCCTTGATTATTCCAGGAAAGAACATGAAGAACTTTTGCTTGTAGCACCCCATGAGAACCATATTTAGCTAAATAAGCTGAAGTCTTCATGTCTAGCTAAAATGTGCACGCCAGGACCCATGCAAGTCAATAGAAAATCTCTTTTTCTGCCCCTCTGAATTCTATCAGTTGTAATAGCAAGATTAAAAATGCTGGTACATTTGGTTTCATGTGCACTTGTGTATTTTTCACTTAAAATGCCAGCTCATTTGTAGAAGGTACGACAGTAGCATCAGCCTGTGTGATAGACAGATGGATGTACTAAATGGAGAAGTCGGTATTTTCAAAGGAATTTTAGGGAATTTCTTTTCCCTAGTGTCCATGGAAATGAATTTTTGTTGGTCTGCTTGATTCACATCAGTGCCTTGGAAGTTCTGCAGCATAAAGCACTGGTCTGGGAGATGGACTGCATCCCGAAAGGAATGCCAAACCCATCAAGGTGCTAAGTGTTCCTGTGAAATACTGGTCACCTTGCTTCACTTCATCTCTCCATCTGTACACTAGTCCTCCTGGGATGAATGGATGTCTCAAAGTGCCTTTCTGCCTCCTTTCTTCCTTCTTCTTTAGCTACTGGGGGAACCTGGATGATTAAATTTGACGAGGTGTTTCACCAAAGACAGCTAAGATGGCAATGAGGAGGGAAATATGCGGGCCTGGGTTCAATGCTGACACGCTCCAACATTTCCAACTTTTAAAGTCAAAGATATAATGCTGTGATCCCAAATCCTTTGAAATTCCTGGGAGACTTGCCATCAGCTTTACCAGGCTCTGGATCAGACCCTGTGAGATCTGTACAGCCTTGCTTAAATGCTTCTTCTTTAATTGTGTCCATTGAAATTAGCACTGTGGGGTTTTTTTTCTGTGGGTTTTGGTTCTCGCATTCCTCTTCTCTAAGGAAGCTTACTATAGTATTTGAGAGCTGCAAGAGGAACGAGTAGTAGAGGGAGCTGTTCTTTCCCAGCCTCCCTCATCTTTGCAAAGCCCCTTTGATGTTTTCCACAAACTTCTATACAAAGTCAAATGTTTCCAGGGTCTCCATTTTTGGGTATCTAGCTGCTGACAAGCTAAGGAAGTGCTATGGACATGTCTCCTGGGTGATACAAAGCAGAGATTTCAGCCCTTGTTATCCATTTGGGAAGTTTCCTGTTTTCAGCCCTCTCCTTCTTAGAGTAACTGATGAAGAAAAAAACCTGGCTGGGGGGATGAACGCTGGAAATCATGGCTCTGGGAAAGGGATCATTTAAAGGAATCCTTGTTGCTTTGTGAGTAGCTCTGTTTCAACAGCCTGGTCAGTCAACTGCAAGCCACCAGCAGCCCATTTGAGGCTGTAGCTCAGGGATTGTACCACCACATTCGCTTCGTGCAGGTTCTCATCAATTTGTGTCTGACAGCACCACAGCGGGCTATTTTAAGCTTCAAATTTTGACAATTGATCCTTAATCAAACAATTTCCAGCAAGACTCTGCAAGAGGCTTTGGCAAAGGCTCACACTTGCTGGCAGAAGCAGGTCTCTTGGAGTCCGAGGGCAGATGAGGCAGCTGAGTCGCAGATGTCATCTCCAGCTCTAATTCACTCCTTGGGATAGCCCAATCTCGTGGCACTCACCCGTAATGAGAAACCTGATAGAGATCAGCCTTTGGAAGCACTGCTTTCTGTGGCCAGCTGGTGTCTGGCCAAGAAGGCCTGCAGCCAAAGCTTTGTTCTTTGTTCAAATCCAAAGTAAATAACCTCCATGCAGGGGAGCCCTGATGGGCTGAGGGGCTGTCCTTTTCCATCCAGGCAGGACAACAGAGTGTTTGCTACCACTTGCCCTGAGGGATGTGAGATCCTGACGATGCTGGATCTCCTCTTCCCCCAGGTTGTGCACTGGGCATAGCAATGAGCTTGGGAGGCGATGGGCCTGCCACCTTGAATATTGACCCCATTTCAGGAGCCCTTAGGTGGGTGATCTAAGTACATCCCAAGTCCAACGTAATGCAGTAATTCATAATGCTCCAGCGTAACTTGGAAGCAACACCAGGTTTCCTTTTTCACTTCAATAGCATGAAATCAGGGAGGTGGTGATGTGAGTGGGGTTGTCTAAAAGATGGTATTAAGATTAGCTCCCATGATGATCATGTATCATGCTTTTATCATAATGGTATTGGTCTTGTTAATATTTACTGTTTTCTTCCTGTACATTTGCTATACTAAATATAATGGTTCTTTGGTTTCAATGCTGCACAACATTTATTTTTTTCTTCCTCCCTAACTATCTTCCTTCAAACTTAGCCAAGGAACTGGAAAGCTAATTGTGCTCTTTCTGTGTCCTATGCCATCGTCAATAATACAGTTTCAGAGCTTACAACTAGGGGACCCATTTTGTTAAAGGGATGGCAACCAGAATATAATTCAGCTCTTCCATGGCTGGGCTGGCTGCGCCAAGAAAAATCATAACTATTTTTTATTAGATAAAGAATAAGATGTAGGATGTGAAGACCCAAAGTCCAGGTACGTTGAATAAGTGGAGACTGTTCTTGTGTCATTGCTCTTGGGAACGTAATCCTTCTGAGACCAAACCACACTCTGCCATGATTCAGATGCTCCACTGCAGATAGAGGGAGCATCACCTGCTTATTTTATCTCACGTGCCAGCTGGGTGCCAAGATTTCTCCTGACTCTTTGCCTTTCTTTCTTGTTTTGACATGTATATGCATTTTAATATTACATTTTATAAACAATACAATCCTTGAAACTCTTCAATTCTTCCATGTTTTAGAAAGGGGAAACATTCAATCAGATTTCTTATTAGCCCTCTGCTAGAACATAAAAATTCTGTTTTGAAAGCGAGACCCTTTTAAAAGTGTTTTAAAGGCTTCTACTAACATTATGTTCATGTGTCACTTGCAGTTATTGAAGTGAACAAGAAGGATATAGTCTTCCTGATAGATGGCTCAACTGCTTTGGGGTCTGGCCCCTTTAACTCAATTCGTGATTTTGTTGCCAAAATTGTCCAAAGGCTGGAGGTTGGACCCGACCTGATCCAAGTCGCAGTGGCACAGTACGCAGACACTGTGAAGCCAGAGTTTTATTTTAACACCCACCAGAGCAGAAAGGACGTGATGGCTAACGTGAAGAGAATGAAGCTCATGGGTGGTACAGCACTCAACACTGGCTCAGCACTGGACTTTGTGAGAGCCAACTTCTTCACTAGTGCTGCTGGGTGCAGGATGGAGGAAGGGGTGCTCCCTATGCTGGTGCTCATCACTGGTGGTAAGTCCAGGGATGCTGTTGACCAAGCTGCGGCAGAGATGAAAAGGAACCGGATAGTGATCCTTGCTGTTGGGTCAAGAAATGCCGATGTGGCAGAACTTCAAGAAATTGCCCATGAGAGAGATTTTGTGTTCACCCCAGACGACTTCCGTGTTCAGTTCATGCAAGCCATTCTTCCTGAAGTGCTGTCACCTATCCGGACACTGTCTGGAGGACTGATTATCCAAGAACCACCATCAGGTAATTAATTACCTTTTTCTAATTAAGGAGATATGGTTTATATGTTTGTTAACTCTTACTCTATGACAGGTAGAGATAAGATGGGGAAAAAAGGGTCAAGCACATGTTTCAGCATAACTAAATGTTGTCTCTCTGATTTGCATGAACAGATCGGTGGATTTGGTAGTGTGGTTGTTGTTACAGCTTTGTCATTCCTTTCTGGAGATTTTTGTCCCATTCCATATTTGGCACCAACATTTAAAGGCCTGGACATGGAAGATGTGCTTTACTAGTTTGGTACAGAAATTGTTCAGTGGAGGCTTTTTCTCTCACTTAGGGTTTGTGTAACCTAGGAACAGGACACACTGTGAATTTAATAATCTCTTCCCCAGTTTGAAAATCATCTGTAGTGGATATTTGCTCAAGAAAGGTTAAAAGTTTCTTCTGAGTGTAACTAAAATAAGCAAGTTTGTTCATGGATATGTTCAGAGAAAACTAGCGTGACACTGTTGGACTGAAACTCACCCTTTAAGAACATACTTAGAGTTTTCTTACCATTTACTCAGCTAAAGCCCTAAGAGGAGTACGACATTATTGCATTGTTGATTTTAATTTAGTCTGTTTAGAAGATGATTCAAATCCCTGGGAAGCCAGTCTATTCTTTTTACTTGGTTTTGCCATTGACATCGGTAGACTTTGGAAGTAATCCAGTCACTAGAGTCATGTCTTTTGAGGAAGTTTCGCCTGCATTTCAAGAGGTGTTCTAGCTGCATAGAGATTTTATACCAAATTTCTCAGGATTTCTTCCTGATAGAGATGCCTGAGGTTGAATTAATGTTGTGCTAGATCATATTTGAACCTTGCATTTCTGTCTCACGGAATATAAACATTAGAAAAACAGGACTTCTTCCAGCTCCCACTAAGGTCAATAGTCCTATGAACCATGTCCATATATTTTCTAGTTTCTCCAAGTAATTCAAAATTCTAGACTGCAGTGCAAAAGAAACTGAGTTTTTGGAAAGGGTCCTTAAAGAATTAAAGCCTATGACTGATTTACATGAAGAGCAGACATTTTAAAATCAGTTTGCCAATACTTGTCCTTAATTAAGATGAATATCACAGTACTTAACATTTAATAAGCTTTTTCTCAGAATGTGTTTCCTGCTAATACAGTTTTGCATGGCTATATACCAAACCTGATATTTTTTTTTCAATGTAAATTAAAAATGTTTCTATACTTCCTTTTTCTTTAAAGCTCATTCATGCAGCTTATCTTTTTTTCCCAGTCCTTTTGCTCTATTGTGCTTACAGCTGTTCATATACACAATAAGCAAGTAATCACATCCTACTCCACATAATTGCTGTGATTAATAACATAAGTGGATTTTGACACACTAGGCAGTCTGTTACCTTTCTAGATATTGTCTCACCCTGGTCCTTGAATGGCACTTTTCTGGGAAAAATTAAAAATACAGAAAGTCAAGACAATCTGTAGAATCTGAGAGCAATGTCTGTATTCCAAAGAGACCTTTTCTCCCTTTTGGTTTTATTATCTCAGTATTTATATATTTTATATATAGGACAGCAAGCTTCAGGGACAAGACAAGCTAGAAAAACAGATTAATATAGCCGTAGGTATTATACCCATAGGTAAATACTTTAAACAGAAAGATAATGAGCAGGATTAGCAATGGGCATAAATATATTCTCAAATAACTTATTTAGACAAAGGCATCCGGGCAGCATGCATTGGATGAGCCCACTCATCACTTCTATGAGATCTCATTTAAAGTTTCAGCATTTTGGTCTGTCATCTGGACATGACATGTTTAGAGTAAAAAGCACAGGGAGATGATCCTGTGGTGTCTTTGGGGTGACATTGCAAATCTGTATCTTGGGACTCAGATGCTGGGAGACTACCCAGGAAGGATTTAACCTTAAAAAAGGAGCTGAGAGCTGGCTCATTACTGCCAAAAGTGGGAAATTTCTCCCCCTTCAACAGCCCACAAAATGGATGTCTGTAATTGCAGATATCAAAATGCAGTTTTCTGCATCAAATGCAGATGTCAAAAAGGCAGGTGTTGCAGCATTATCTGGACCAGCTTTTCTAAGCTTATTAGTAAAATTATTTTTAATACCCACTCAAAATACCACCAAAATTGTTTACTTGGCAGAAGTGTTTTCCCATGCAAGCGTAGCCTAACTCTGTGTCACAGGCCAGCCGCTGCTGGCTGCGCAACGTGACCATGGAAGTCACTGGACATGGATCTCTACCTCTAGGGATGCATGGGAGCATCCCCATGGAACCGGGGATTGCTTAATAAGGGGGTGATAGTGCCGGGTGTCAAAGCACACTTTAGGTGCCAGCAAGCAGAAACATTCCCTAAAGCTTTGTTGGTAAACCCCAAGTAAACACATAGTGACTTGCAGATAAGTAAGTCATTTTGTAGTCATAATTCAGTGCTGCTCCACTGAAATCAATAAAGCTGCTGGCTAAGGATCTGGCCCAGAGCATGCAACTCTGGCATTAGCAGCTGTTGAAAACATCTGCTGTGACAGAGATTGGGCCCTGTTGATAAACCTGACATTTAAAAGACTTTTCAATACAGGTCAGAAACATCCCCTGACCAATTTAGTAATTTCCAGCAAGGTCCTTGTTAATTCTGTGCTGTTCACACTTTTTCTCTTCTCTTTTTCTCTCCACCTTCCTCCTAACAAGGTTTACATGCGTGTACAGCATATGCTGTATGCACACATGAAAAAATACTCTATTTTTGTTTTCTGTGATGTCTCATGTTATTTTCTGTGCTCTACTGCAGTTCAAGTAACCAAAAGGGATATCATCTTTCTTTTGGATGGATCACTCAACGTTGGAAATGCCAACTTCCCCTTTGTGCGTGCCTTTGTTGATGCCCTAGTTAACTACCTTGATGTCGGCAGTGACAAAATCCGAGTTGGCTTAGTGCAATTTAGCGACACTCCTAAAACCGAGTTCTTTCTGTACTCGTACCAAACCAAATCAGGCATAATTCAACGTATGGGGCAGCTGAGCCCTAAGGGGGGGTCAGTGCTGAACACTGGCTCTGCACTGAACTTTGTGCTTTCAAATCACTTCACGGAAGCTGGTGGGAGCAGAATAAATGAACAAGTGCCGCAGGTCCTAGTCCTGGTGATGGCAGGGAGGTCTGCTGATCCCTTCTTGCAAGTTTCCAATGAATTAGCTCGGGCCGGAGTGCTGACTTTTGCTGTTGGAGTTAGGAATGCGGATAAGGCAGAACTTGAACAGATTGCCTTTAATCCAAGAATGGTATATTTTGTGGATGATTTCAGTGCTCTGGCAGCTTTACCCCAGGAGTTAAATAAGCCTATAACAACATATGTTAGTGGAGGTGTGGAAGAGGTTCCACTCGCCCCAACAGGTAATACCTACCTTCCTTCATGTTGACTGCATTAAGTTAATCTTGTTTCTCTTGAGTGTTTGTTCCCAATGTACACCTTGACATCTGTCCAAGTCCCTGAGTCACCAAAGCGGTTAGGGCTATGCTTAACCATCAGTACGTGGCTTTACACTGGCAGCTCTTAATTTTGTTCAGGTCGTTGCTAGCACACTTTAAAAGCAGCATAATTTTAAGTCTTGTGGCAGGTTAGGACCGAAGGAGGATCCAAGCGAGTCTATGCCCACCAGTCACTTGTTCAGGTGTTCCCTTTCTGTTGCCTTAATAATGTCACAATCTGTAAATGCATTGTCTGCAATGGGATCGTGCACTTTTGGCCACAAGGAGTGGTGTGGAAAGGTTAAAATCATGCCAAAGAGCACAGAGGAGCAGAGGTCTAGCCAGGTACAGGTGGCCAAATCCTCCCCCAGAGCCACTTTGTCAAAGTGCTACTATCAGGCTCTCACAGAGGCTGAATTTGACTCCAGATATTCAAAGTTATCCTCCAACATTAAACCCAAAAGCCGTTGGCAAGTTTAACCCTTTCTAAACAGATATTTGTTGTTTATTTATATTTATTTGCTGTTTATATTTAACTAATTCCCTTATTGCGGCTATGTGCATGTGAAGACATAAGAACAACCAGGATTGTTTAGCACAGAAAAGAGACCATTAAGATTAATATGAAAGATATTAAGACACACAGATATGAGATCCTTGGTTTTGCCTTGGATATTCAATGAGATTAAAAGGGCGTCCAATGGAAACAGGTAAAAGGCTTTTTCTCTTCCCAAAGTCGTAAATCGCCTATGGATTTAGATAGTCCTTATGATGCACTATGTGGGAGAAGTACTTTAAGAGCATACAGAAAATGCTTTTTGTGTGTGTGTATGTATGAACCAATGTCTATTTGTTATCTACTGAGCCTTTAAATAGGAAAAAAACCCCAACCCTCCACTGCTGTTGTACTTCATGCCTGTATTGTTGGCATACTGCTAGACCATAAACATCACTGGCCTAATCTGAAACAGCCAATTTATGATGTGACTGATATGATGTGACACAATATATGACATGGCTATCTGATGTCTAAATTTATTGAGTCTTAGGATAGAGGTGTCCTTCCTTTCCCCTATTTGTCAAATAAATAAGTCAAATGTACTGTTTATTCCTTTGAATACTTTGGTAAATGAAAATCACATGCTTTGTGTATTGAAACCCAGGTAATTTGCAGAGAAGTTTTTAGGGTGACATTTAAGAATAAAATGCCTTCATATCTTTTTTTCCCCCCTTTTTTCATTTGTGAATTTATTCTAGAAAGCAAGAAAGATATTTTATTCCTGATTGATGGCTCAGCCAACCTCTTGGGTAGCTTTCCTGCCGTCCGGGACTTTGTACACAAAGTCATTTCTGACCTGAATGTGGGTCCCGATGCCACACGAGTAGCTGTAGCTCAATTCAGTGACACCATCCAAGTTGAATTTGACTTTGCCGAACTCCCATCTAAGCAAGACATGCTTCTTAAAGTGAAAAGGATGAAGATAAAAACTGGGAAGCAACTGAACATTGGAGTAGCGCTAGATGAAGCTATAAGGAGGCTGTTTGTGAAGGAAGCTGGAAGCAGGTTTGAAGAAGGGGTTCCTCAGTTTTTGGTCCTCCTTGCTGCTGGGAGATCAACTGATGATGTGGAGCAACCATCAGATGCTCTGAAGCAAGCTGGAGTTGTGACCTTTGCTATCAAAGCCAAAAATGCTGACCCTGTAGAGCTGGAAAGGATCGTTTACGCCCCGCAGTTCATTCTGAATGTCGACTCCCTCCCTCGGATTTCAGAGCTTCAGCCAAACTTAGTCAACCTGTTGAAAACTATCCAGCTTCAGCCAACAGGTACAGGGACCCTCAGGGTTTCCAAGAGGCTGAAAGAATCACTTAATGCCCCCCTTGATTTGGTAACTGAGGCAATTTGGTCTGGTGATTAAAATGATTATGTAGAAACTGATATTGTACTTGAATTTTTCTCTGGTCAGACCCTGATACAGCAAAGCATTAAGGTCCAAATTTAATTTTCAAGATGAGTAAGGAAAAAGCCTCTTGTTTACTGCAAGAGCTGCAGCAGGTGCTGTTACCCATGTGTAAAACATGGTACAAACCTGAAATAACACAGACTTATTGCCCCAGAGATCTTGCATAAATTTATGTGCTATGATGGGCAAGGGCTAGAAGAAGCAAATAAAGGCTTATCTCAATTTCACTTTCCATCCTCCCTTTTCTGGAGGAGCGATAGGGAGTAAGGAGCTCTGCAGCGTGCTGGATTCACTCTTGCTCCATTATTTCTTATGGGATATGACAGCAGTTTCTACATTTTGTACCTATGCACCAATAAATTAAATGCTCTTGACTCAGTTACCATTACAAGCTCAGTAGATGAGTATGGATTAGCCGAAGAATTAAAAAAAAAATCGTAAAAAGAATCACACGACCACAATTAAAAATTCACACTGCGGTACTGGAGATTATGCATGTCCAGCTGTGTATTTCCCTATTTTGAGAATTAACTTGTCTCCCAACAGCAAATGGGGACAAGGAAAAGTGTAATAACCTCCACGTCATCTCTCCATAGAAGTCCTGGGCAAATGGACTTAGAATCATAGAAACATAAAAAAGAAATAGGGCCAGAAGGGATCTCAGGGTGCCATCTGCTACATACTCTTATCCTCAACAGGATCTTCTTGTCCAGAACCAGCTGACATTGACCTAATCTGTTCTTCAAACCCTTCAGTGAAGGAGATTTCCCCATCTCCATAATCTATATGTTCAATTGCTTTTATCTGTAGCAGTAGATACTTCTCCTTAATGTAAAACTTCTGCCTTCCTGATCATAGTTGAAGCTTTTTGCATCTCCTTCAACTCAAGAAGGATACAGATGTCAGCTTATTCATGTGTTTCGTGTGACAGCCTTTCATTTACTTTAAGCTTGCTTCTTGTCTTGGTCCTTGTGTCACTAGTTGCGTACCCAGCTCATTCATTCTTTCCTTGTAGGTCTTGTAGGTTTTTTACTTTTTCACCCTTGTCTCTCCAATGTCAGCCTGCTCCAAATGACCAGAGCATAACAATGGTGTCCTCTGGTCATCTCTTACCCTATCTTTTCCGAGTGGAGTCATTGGCCTTCCCATATTTGTGCAGCTTCTGCCTTGAAATAGATTAGCACAGCTAGTGCTCTTGAATTGCATCCTCCCTCTTCAAACCATTTCTGTCTTGTCAAGATAATTTTGAATCCCTTTGACCACCAAGTACTGTGAATAATGGTGCTAATTAATTGCTCACAAATAGCTGCATCCATCTACTTTTCTTAGTATTCTTGGCTAAAAGAGAGCCACCTCATAAGAGAACCTGTATTTTTTTCTTCTTTATCTGCTACCCAGAGACTTTTGATAGGGCTGTTTTTACCTGCTTCTGAACTTTAGATGAAATGTATGAAACTGGGATACACCAGGCAATGTCTTCTCCCACTTCCTACCTGTATTTCTCAACACAAGCTATATTAATATTTAAGTTCTATGCATTAACACACTTGAGTTTCTGACATTCCTCTTAAACAATAAACTTGATCTGAAATCTGCATTAAAACTTTAACTGCCCTTGTTAACTCTTTATATGTTTAGCATTTATAAGCAGATATTTAATATTTTCTTCAGAGGGACAGATCATGCTCCTGCTTGTCCCACTTGACCCTGCTATAAAGAACTCAACAGCACTTTTGGGGATGCCATTCATCAGCTGCTGTGTTTGGGAGGCAGTGAAGTTTTCTGCTTGGCTGAGCCAAAGCTTTGTAATTCTGTTAGTCAATAGCAGAATGCGTCAACAGTTCTCTGATCTTCGACTTTTCACAGTCTCAGTTTTCTGAAAAAAAAATGTTAGGTCACAATTAGCATTTTTTTGTGCTTGAAGTCAGTTTTTTTAAAAAAGAAATCAGTGTCTAGCATTTTAGATAAGCATTTCAGCATTGTCAATTGGATATCCTTTCCAACAAAATCTTATCTTGTCTGAGCATGTGCAGGATTATTTATTTCTAAGTTCAGTGATGCCTCAGAAAAGCTTTTCTCTCCCTCTCTTCACTGGCTCCCTGTGAGCACCCTTTCTGCAGTATGCCATTTTATTCAGAAACTCAGTGTTCTCTGGGAGCAAAAGATCCCTGATGCCCCAGACTCCTGTTGCATATTGCAAAGACAGCTTCCTGGTCCCCCTAGGAGCAGATGACTTCTCCCAGCCTCAGGTAGGAGATGGCACCCAGAGTCCCTTGGTACCCTATTTCCTATGAGTCTATGATTCTATGACTCGGTGGGTAAGGCATGGCACATGTTGCACTGCAGCTTCCATCGACATCCACCCATCTGCCTCTTCGCCAGGAATTGCATCTGATGGCAAAGGAATTGAATCACCCATCCTGACACCCCACTTTCCCTTCCCTGAGCTTTTGTACTCCTTCTGTTCAATGTATGCGGAGAATAATAATAACTGCAAAAGAGAATCTCACTTATTCCCCCTTTCCCTTACTTGTCTCAAACAGTAGTTGAGAGAGGTGAGAAGAAGGATGTGGTGTTTCTAATTGATGGCTCAGATGGTGTCAGAAGAGGTTTTCCTCTACTGAAGACCTTTGTCCAAAGAGTCATTGAAAGCCTGGATATTGGTCGTGACAAGGTCCGTGTGGCCGTCGCACAGTACAGCAACGTCATACAACCAGAGTTCTTACTCGACACCCATGAAGACAAAGCAGACCTCATCAGTGCCATCCAGGAGCTGAAGGTAATGGGAGGGTCTCCTCTGAACACTGGAGCAGCCCTTGACTATCTCATCAAGAATGTGTTCACGGTGTCGAGCGGCAGCAGGATAGCTGAGGGCGTCCCGCAGTTCCTGATTCTACTGACCGCTGACCGGTCCCAGGATGATGTGAGAAGGCCCTCGGTGGTCCTGAAGACGAGTGGCACAGTGCCCTTTGGCATCGGGATTGGAAATGCTGACCTCACAGAGCTGCAGACCATTTCCTTCCTCCCAGATTTTGCTATCTCTGTGCCTGACTTCAGCCAGCTGGATACAGTGCAACAGGTCGTCTCGAACAGAGTTATCCGGCTGACCAAGAAAGAGATAGAGTCACTTGCCCCTGATCTGGTTTTTACATCACCCAGCCCAGGTGAGAAGAAGTTTGTGTCTGCACCAAGAGTCAGCGGCAAAATATGATGTTTAGTAACATCATGGTTGCAACACAAACTGAGAAAAGCAAAGATGGTCACAGCTAAGAATCCAAGTCCGTCTTGGTCTCACTGTTGATGTACTTAGGGTTGGTAGGAGCTGTGTAATTAAGCTAAGCCACCTTTAAGCCCAGTCCCCTAAGGTGTTCCATGTTGTATCTACATGGAAGACCCACAAAGTGAATGCTATGACCTTGCTCTTATTTTAAGTTGATGGATTTTAAGTCCATGCTATTCCTCCTGGAATGGAAATTGCATCATTTAGATACTACAGGGACACCTTCACACCACTATAAATCAAGGTCAGCTTTCTGCTAAATGTAAGACCTGCTGATGTGTCTTACATTCGCTACGCTCATTCACTGGGGGAAGGGAAACCGGAAGCTGGCATCAGGAAAAGGATCAGATCTTCAATTTCTGGTCTCGTTTGGAATGAAATCCAGCCAGAGTATGCGTGGGATGAAGGGTACCCACCCCAGATCAGTCCATTTGAAGTCCACTATCCTACTCTATCTGTTCCTTCCCTTCACAGACAGACTGCTTTCCTCCATCCCCATTGGTCAGTGTGATATTCAGTGATAATTCAGGCTCTGACCTGAATTACCACTGCAGAAAACATTTTATTAGGAAGCAAAAAGTCATCCTGCGAAGGCAGAAGCTGAGAAAATAATAAGGTAGAAGCCTTCTTAGAGGACAAAGCCAAAGAAATAGGGGTGGTACTGAGTGTGAAACAACCCCAGACTGCCTGGCAACCTGCCCTGAGAAAGCAGCATCACCAGGCTACGTTTCCTTGGGTGGAGATCCCACAAGGAATTACTGTTACAGGTTGGCCCTGCTCCTGCTTGCTCCCTTTGCTCTGGAAGGTGCTGTTCTTGCACTGCCTGGGGATGTGCCTAGCAGATTGGTCCTGTCTTTGTGTTGAACCCACAGCTTCCTGCTGGAGTTCCCAGGAGACATCACAGGCAATGAAACAACGAGCATCCTCCCCATGGCCAAAGGCATGGGCCAGTGATGTAGATAATGAGCTTAATTGCTCTCCATAAGCAATATCTGGTGCATTTTCTGACAGCTGCCTTCCTTCCTGCAGCGGGTGTGAAGAGGGACGTTGTGTTCATGGTTGATGGCTCCCGCTATGCTGCCCAGGAGTTCTACCTCATCCGCGATCTCATTGAGAGGATAGTGAACAACCTGGATGTGGGCTTTGACACCACCAGGATTTCGGTGGTCCAGTTCAGCGAGCATCCCCACGTGGAGTTCCTGCTCAATGCCCACTCCACTAAAGACGAGGTGCAGAGCGCTGTAAGACGGCTGCGGCCACAGGGTGGCCAGCAGGTTAACGTGGGGGAAGCCCTTGAGTTTGTGGCAAAGACCATCTTCACCCGGCCCTCTGGAAGCCGCATAGAGGAGGGTGTCCCTCAGTTTTTGGTCATCCTCTCCTCCCGCAAGTCTGACGATGACTTAGAGCACCCCTCACTTCAAGTCAAACAAGTGGGGGTGGCACCTATGGTGGTAGCGAAGAACGTGGATCCTGAGGAGATAGTACAGATTTCCCTTAGTCCTGATTACGTATTTCAAGTTTCCAGCTTCCAAGAACTGCCCAGCCTGGAGCAGAAGCTGCTGACCCCTATTGAAACCCTGACTGGGGACCAAATCAGACGGCTGCTGGGAGATGTGCAACCCCCTGTAGGTAAGGCTCTGTCAACACTGGCTGCCTCTGGGTTGCTATTCAAGTAAATGTTTCTCAAACAGGTAAATAACCTTCCATCCCTTCTCAATAAACGGAGGTTTTCCTTTGTTAAAAGCAAAGATATAGCAGATGTACAGTTTTAGAAGGAAACTTTTAGATATGTGGAAATTCTAACCAAGTACCTAAATACATCATAACTTATGGTTTTCCTGTCAAGTACCTAAATACGTTACCTTTTTTGATTTTCAAGTCAAACACCACAATGCATACAATTGCCTGTTCCCACTTAGCAGCTCTCTAGGAAAGAGACATAAATCTGGGGCAAAGTGAAGCTGGAAACATTGACAAATCCAGAGAAGAGTATTAATGAGTGAAACAGATAAGGCTCTGAGTAATGAGTGCTTTGAATATTAGGCAGACTGTTAACACATACATGCACACTTGCACACAAGCCCTTTTGGAGAAGGTCCTTGAAGCGTCATGCCTAAAGTTGGCTAAAATATGCTGTGCAGTTTTACATCACAAGAGAGCATATAGCACAGAAATCCTCCAGCAAAGCCTAAGGAAAGACTTGTCACACAAACAATTTCCTCTCTTTTTGCTTCCCTGCAGATATTTCTGGTGATGAAAAGGACATAGTCTTCCTCATTGACAGCTCTGATGGCGTTAGGCCTGATGGGCTTGCTCACATTCGGGATTTCATCAGCAGAATTGTTCAGCAGCTGGAGGTTGGGCCAAACAAAGTGCGAATCGGCGTGGTGCAGTTCAGCAATAATGTCTTTCCTGAGTTCTACCTGAAGACCCACAAGTCCAAAAATGCCGTCCTGCAAGCCATCCGCCGCTTGAGGCTTAGAGGAGGGTCCCCCGTGAACGCTGGCAAGGCCCTAGACTATGTGGTGAAGAACTACTTCATCAAATCTGCAGGGAGCAGGATAGAAGATGGAGTGCCCCAGCATCTAGTCATCATCCTTGGAGACCGGTCTCAGGATGATGTGAACAGGCCTGCTAATGTAATCACTTCAACGAGCATTAAACCTCTGGGTGTCGGAGCCAGAAATGTGGACAGGGACCAGCTACAGATCATAACCAATGATCCTGAGCGTGTGCTTGTGGTACAGGACTTCACAGGACTCCCAACTTTAGAAAAGAATGTGCAAAGTATTCTTGAAGAGCTTCCGATACCTACAACAGAATCTCCTGGAATTTTAGGACCTGGTAAGACTACTATTCATCCTGTAGACTTTTCTGGACAGAGCACAGGTAGAATTTGTATAACGTGAAAATGATTCCATAATAACGCTTTTTGATTCCAAACCCTTTAGTTGCATTGATTTAAAGAACATTTTGAAGATTTGTTGATCATAGGGAAGAATAGAATTAAATTTGCAATGAGACGACAGTGTCTATCACAAAAACAAGTAAAGTTGTATGAAGTGTACTAAGGGTTGTATAAAACATTTCTTCTTGTATGGTTATAAAATCACGCCAAAGACCAACGAAACAAAAATTGCAGAAAGGAGAGAGAAATACAATGCTACTTCACAAAGCACTAAGCATCTTAAGTATTATAGATGTTTCAAATAATTATTAATAATTGTGTTTTCTTCGTAATCTTTTTAGGAGGCAAAAAGCAGGCTGACATTGTGTTTTTGCTGGATGGCTCCATCAATCTGGGGAGAGACAACTTCCAAGAAGTTCTCCAGTTTGTTTACTCTGTGGTGGATGCCATTTATAGAGATGGCGACTCTATCCAGGTAGGACTGGCCCAGTACAACTCAGATGTCACGGATGAGTTTTTTCTCAAGGACTACTCCACCAAACCTCAGATTTTAGATGCCATCAACAAAGTCATCTACAAAGGTGGCCTAGTGGCAAACACAGGTGCAGCCATCAAGCATATCCAGGCAAAACACTTTGTGAAGGAAGCCGGCAGCCGAATCGACCAGAGGGTGCCCCAGATTGCCTTCATTGTCACAGGTGGGAAGTCCTCGGATGACGGGCCGAGTGCCTCCTCAGAAATTGCGCAGAAAGGTGTCAAGGTATTTGCGGTCGGTGTGAGAAACATCGACCTGAAGGAAGTCAGCAGGCTGGCCAGTGAGAGTGCCACGAGTTTCAGAGCGTCCACAGCCCAGGAGCTGTCTGAGCTGAATGAGCAGGTTCTGGTTACACTGGAAGCTGCTATGGAGGAGAAATTGTGCCCAGGGACAACAGACATTACAAGAGGTAAGTGCAATCCTTTCATATTGTGCTCAGGTCATTTCAGAGGGTGGGTTTTAATATCCAACAAGTTTTGATGAACTTGTCCAGCCTGCTCTTGTGCTTTGCCTATAGCCTGAAGTGCAGCATGGGCTCAGACCTTCTTCATGAGCATGGTGGTAGGCTGCAAACCTTTGGTACAAGAGCTGCCTGTTTGTGTGCTTCAGCACGTGATCAACTAGTGTACCATCACCACAGAGGTGCCATCATGGTGGAATAATTTCAGATATGATAGTCAGGCACTAAATCACTAGACTTCTACCACCACATTGGAGGGGCTCCTTTATTTAGCTGCCTTTGGAATAAGTCTCACTACCTCCCTCTCCAGATGTGTAGGGACATGATGCCAGTATCATGTTGGCATCTTGTTTAGTGCCAAAATGAAAAGTGATGGTCCTAGTTTTGCTTACTGTGTTTATTACAAGCCAATTGGACTTCTTGGCTATTCAGTCCGTCATTCATGGTGTGCTGGAAATCAGAACTTCTCTTGTCAGATCATCCAGGCTGCCCTCTTCACCTCGTGACACATATATGAGAAAAAGCTAAGGCATGAGTGGTTGTAGTTTAGGGTAAAAGTGCCTGTAAGAAGGAATCCCATGATTTGGCTACATCAGAAGCCAAGCAAGAAGAATTGAGTAAGAAAGCTGGTATTGCTGTCAGACCAGACTGCCAGCAGCTGGTTTCACTTACTATGGTATGGCAAGTCCCACTCCCAGCACAACTGACCGTGGCTCAACTGTCTGGCTTTTGAACAGAGGCATCTCCCAAACCTCTGGAGAAGCTGAAGGAGAGCCACAGCAGCCCTGAGCTGAGCAGGAGCTATGGCCGAGATGAAAAACTGAGCGCAGGGAAAAACAAACTGCTGCTGGTGGTAACCATGAGTGCTTCCCAAGTGTAGCACCAGTGTGATTAGTATCAAAGAGAATTCAAACACCTCCCTGTTTGAAAGCCTACATAGGTGCAGGAGACGTTAAAACCAAGTGAAAGGCATCCAGCAACCTGATTTCTCTGTGCTCCAGACCAACAGGCAGCTTGATGGCTGCAGGGTGGCTCCACAGTCCATGCTAAATATTCCTGCAAAAAGGCTCGTTAGCTCGGGCTGAGCAACTTCAATGCCTCTTTCTGCCCTAATTCCCAGCTATCCCATATAAATCCTAGCCACACCTTTCAGGGACTTGACATCAGTCGCCTGGTTGTCACATCCCTCTAAATCCCCGTGACTGGAGGTTGGTCACTTTGATCATAGGCAGCAGGTCTTCACGCAGTGGAGAGAAAGCAGGAGTCTTGGCTGCGTGATGAAAATGCAAATTTCTGTTGGACTTGGTTTAGTCATCTCCTCCCAATGTTGTGCAACAATTGCACAGCAAAAAAAAAAAAAAAAAAAAAAAAAAAAAAAAAGCAGATTTTCCCAGGTTATCATTGCTATGATGAAAGGAAATAGAAGGCAATTCTGTATCAAATGGTGGCAGTTCTTGATGCAGAGAATGTCTTCTCTAATGACTAACAGAATAATTAGGAAAGTCATTACCTGAAAAGCAATTGTGGTATTGCTCAATGGTGATGCTCTCTTCTCTTTCTGTGTTTCTCTTTCAGATTGTGACTTAGATGTGATACTTGGCTTCGATGTCACGGATGTTGGGCCTGGCCAAAATATATTCAATTCCCAGAGAGCTCTGGAGTCCAGAGTTGAGTCTGTGCTGAACAGAATAACACAGATGCAGAAGATCAGCTGCACCGGCAACCAGGCACCCAATGTCAGGGTAGCCATCCTGGCCCAGGCTCGGGGGGGAGCTGTGGAGGGACTGGACTTCTCTGAGTACCAGCCTGAGCTCTTTGAGAGGTTTCAGGGCATGCGTACCCGTGGTCCCTATTTTCTCACAGCGGATACGCTGAAGTCCTACCTGAACAAATTCAGAGCCGCGCCTTCCAGCAACACCAAGGTAAGTCAAACTCCAGGCCACTGGGATGGTGTTGGCCAGATAAGCTGACTTCTGATATATTTCAGTTTGTAAAGCAACTGTAAATTCATTATAAATTTTAAAAATTATTCATTGAATAAATAAATTTATTCATAATAAATTTGGTCACATAAGCCCTACTCATTTCCCGCACTCTCCTTGCATTGTCAAGGTCCTGTCCTGACAATTGCTGAGCATCTGTTGCAGCCAGTACCCATGAGCATCACTTGGCTGCGAACTATTGCTTTCCAGATAGTTCCTTGTTCATGCTTTAGCAAAAAACACTTGCATGATACAATGTACAGAAACCTGACACAGAAATGCAAAGCTTCATGGCCTGGAAAGGGCCATTGCCCCTCAGATGAAACATCCCTTGGAAGAAGGTCCTTCAGGTTGCACATTGATTGTGTTTTGTAACTGAAACATTCTGGGTCCTCACATAAATTTTTTTCTCTCCCAGGTCATAATCCATTTTACTGATGGTGCAGATGACTCAATAGATGAGCTGGAGGCTGCTTCAACTGCTTTGCATACAGAAGGTAACTTTTTTTACTCTTCAAGGCAGTGATTACCATCCACGTTAACATGTGGCCCATTTTACCACCGTTTCTCATGATTCCACCAGATTTTGATAGTAATGAATAAATATTTCATGATTTCTACATGCACTTGCTGTTCTTCATCGCCTTCCTGCGATATTAACTGCCTGCTGGCACCTAAGCCTGTGGGTAGTGCACTGAATGTGCTTGAAGATGCTTGTTCTCGATTGAATAAGCTCCGTTTGCAATTGAAGAGGTGGATAATGACCCGTCCTTACAGGGGAGGGTGTGCAGGCTCTGCAGAGCACCTCACCCCATCACACAGCCCCTTTTGCTTCCCCCCCCTCCTCCAGGTATCAATGCTCTCATCTTCGTCGGGCTGGATCAAGTGAGCAATTTTGACAAAGTGATGCAGCTGGAGTTTGGTCGTGGATTCACCTACAACAGACCACTCAGAGTTAATCTGCTGGACTTGGATTTCGAGCTGGCAGAGCAGCTCGTAAGTAACTTGGCACAGGCAGCGTTGCCTTGTAATGCTGGAGGAAAGCCAATGGCTGGATCTCCTGTGGGGCTGCACTGTGGCTGAATTACACCCTCTTGGCTCTAGTCCTCTCCCCTCCCTACTTCATGTCAGCTTTTTTTACAGATGCCACAGTGAATAAAGTTAAGAGCAGATCGTGGCACTGCCTGGTCTCGTACCACTCCTGGAGAAGCCCTACTCCAGCTGAGGCTACAAAGCATGGGATTAAGTCACATGGGATGGGATAAAGTGCCATTAAAAGGTGCCATGCCAGAAAGCCCACCCTTCACCTATATATATATATTTATTTTTTTTAACCTTACGGGTAATGCACTGTCATGCCTTGTCAGTGCTAAATCTCTTGCAGAAGCACTGCTTTCTAGGTTTCTTTCCCCAAGTTGACACACTGCCTGTATTTCAGACAAAATTTTAACAAGTGAAGGAGTTATCTTTTCCTCTTTACAGATTTACTTCCCTCCCATCTATGCAGTCCCTCTCAAGTTTGTTGAGGTAATTTGCTATAACCTCAGTATGTCCAGTTCCTCTCAACTTCACATCTGCTACCAGCATCATTAAGGTCCTTTTCCAGTAAATTTAATAAGATTGGGCTTAACCACAGATCGCTGTGGTAACCTTGCTAGACCCTTCTCTGCAAATCGAAGTGCAGCCACTTAGGAATGAACCTTGTTTTTTGGGGTAAGAGCTAATCTTGAGCCCATCTCCAAGTAATTCAGTTGTCTAGGAAAATCCTTTCAAAATGTAAATGTGCAAAGCTGGCAGGAAACGTTTGCAGCCAGCAACGTACTTGGCAAAGAAAATGATTTTTTTTTCTTTCTGTTGGATGATGCAAAACCAACCTGTGATTTCTCTGAATCCGTATCTTTCTTTCTTTTTCATTTTTCCTCTTTTGCTGTGTTCTCAGCCCTCAGCCTGTGTGTTGTTGGTGACCTACTCACTGCAACGGCTTTCTCATGGCCTGTTCCACAGCCTGGATTTGTTTCTTTGGAGAAGAGATTGCTCTCTTCAGTGACAGGCACCGCTCTGAGGACTGATTTCCTACTAAATGCTCTCTATGATTTCTGCCCCACGCAGCTCCCATTTAAACCCTTGCCTCTGATGTCCAAAGGGTAATGTTGACTGCTGCTTCCTAACCAGTCCGTCAACACATCCCTTCTTCTCCTGCTGTCATGGGTGTTTCAAGGCAGAGAGACTCCAAAATGCTGCTGGACCGATGTTATGCTTGGCACAGGAGCAATTGCACAGACTTGAGGGCTTGAAGGAGTTGTGGTGTTGGTGCTCTGCCAGGTTTCTAACACCTTCCTATTGCATTGTGCATTTTGCTGCAGGACAACATCGCAGAGAGGACATGCTGCAAGGTCCCATGCAAGTGCTCAGGGCAGAGAGGGGACAGAGGTGTGCCAGGCCCCATAGGACCGAAGGTAGGTCACTTCATCTGGGGATGAAGGGTCCCTGTGCAAGGTCAGTGTCCACCACAGTGGTGATGGTTGGGTGACGTGCAGGCTGCACACATTGTAATGGGTGATGCTAAGAGGGAGGTCATCCCCGCTTACCCCCCACTTTAAAACTGGCCCTGGGCCATGCACAGTGGTTGAGAGCTGCTCTTCTCTTTCCTCACAGCCTCTGTGTTGTGAAACAACCAAGAGGGCAGGGATAAGTGGTTGGAAGGATGGGGTGAAGTGTCTTGTGCAACAATTGAGGGATGTCAAAAGGAGATGGTTTCTCTCATTAACTTGTTTCCACAGATGCCCAAGCAGCTGCTTTGTGCAAATCTAGGGAAATCTTGAATATCAATTTAGAAGGAGATCACAGAACTATGAAAGAAATGCAAAATCCTCTCTGTTTTCTTCTAGGGTGCCACGGGTGATCTTGGCTACGGAGGCTATCCTGGTGATGAAGGAGGACCGGTGAGTGATTGCCCCTGTGCTGCATGGTACTACTCAAATAAGGGACCTCACCATAGTGAAGCATTTGGAGGCTTTTTCACTACATATTTTCTGCTGAGGATGTGGGCATGGATTAAAAAAGAGAGCAAGTAGAACTTTGTGTTTCCCCCACCTGATGACCTGAGTTGCTGGTCCCAGCTGCTCCTGGAAGAAGGTCAGTAAGGAGCTCCTTGAGAGCTGGAGAAGGCGTGGGGAATAACTCCAGTTAATTGATGTGACCCAGCTCTGTGCAATTCCTCCAAGGCAGGTGGGAATGTCTGCAGCTTGTCCCAAATTCCTGTGAGCAGGGCAGGGTGATTATGAACACAATAAAATCCCCAGCCTCCTTAAAGCTGCAGCCTATGCCAAAGTTATCCATATCAAATGCAGCTGAAAGTTTTGAGTTAGTCCAAGAATGGGACCAAGAAGGGATGTTTCTATCCATCACAGTGACAGACAACATGAATCCCATGACTTCTTACTGTTTCATCCAAACTCTTACTTCATGAATCCCATGTCACCCGTGGAATAAACAACTCCCCACACATCACGCCCGGGAAGTGCAGCCGAGGCCAAGGGGCTGGTGGTGCTCATTGCTTTTCCAATAGCGCAGGCAGGGGCCAAATGCTGCTGTCAGGTATCACGTGCAATGCAATGTTTTCCTGGGGCTTTAAGGTCAGGATGGGATTAGACATCTATGCAGAGCTCTGAGGGTGTCATCTTGTCATTTTATTTTCAAAGGAAACGTTTTATAAAGCTATGCATGGGTGAGGGTTTGGGAAGGATGTTTCTCTCTCAGTGATGAAGACTTGCAGTTGGTCTCTGCATGAGGAAGGTTGTGGGCAGGAGATGGTGTGGTGGCTGGGCATTCATCTTTAAAACCTGATGCTCCATTTGCTCCTGTGCTTCAAATCCACCTCCTGCACTTGCTGATGCATGCAGTTAGCTGAAGAAACACGCTTAGCAGGCAAACCCTGACCATTGTATTTTCCCCTCCATGCAACAGGGTGAGCGTGGACCACCAGGTGTGAACGGGACGCAGGGTTTCCAAGGATGCCCTGGGCACAGAGGAACCAAGGTATGTGCGGAAGGAGCCTGCACAAAGCAGTCGCAGAGTCTGGCTGGTGGGACTCCACTGAGGGCAACTCCTGCTGCTTTAGGATGTCACTCAGCAGCCGCCAAGTCCACTCAAGTGGTGGTGTCCACCTGGCCAAGAACCAAGGCTTTCAGCAGGTGTCATGGCTTTAGCATTGCTATGAAATGCAGCCCAGTGACCCAGGCTCAATCTGCAGACAAGGCTGATATATTTTCTGCAGTCTGGCTCTAGGAGAAAGATGCGAGAAAAGATGGATTTGTTCTTAACACCAAGAAGTGGTGTGTGCGTGTCTTGGCCCATTTACATGTGGATGGAAATCTGCTGTTGGGGAGGAGGGAGAAAAGTGAGCCATGGCTGCTGCTTTGAAGAGGAAGGAGCAAATGTTTCAGGACAGCAGCCACATCACAAGCCAGAAAAGGTGGTGAAATATATAATATTTATGGTAAATATTCAGCAATATTAAGGGGATACTTCCTACCACTTGCTCTGACCACAGGGTCCTCTGGCAGGGAGCAGAGGAGTGTGTGAACCAACCTGTTAGCTGCAGCTGAGATACTGAGTCTCTTTAAAAAGCTGTCCAGCCTTGGACAAAGGCACCGAGACTGGATCTGGATTAATATAAAAATGGATGCAGGGAGAAAAGAATGTCAGTGGAGAAACTATTGTGGCTAAGGAGTAAGTTATTTTGTTGGACCAGCTGGCTAAACCCCGTGATGCATGGATTTTATCTTGGTGTGAATGTTGAGGAGGCAGCTGAAGAAGAAGATTGGCATAAGAGAAATAAGGGACAGTGGAACCCTGGTGCAGCAAGCCCTGGCTGTCCTGCCCTGGTCTTGGCTCTGGGTCTGCCACCAAGCATAGGTCCCCTTTCCCCACCACTTCCCATGGGAAAGAACTGGGCAAAACCAGAGTAACGCTCTTTTCTGATCTCTTTAGGGTTCTCGGGGATTCCCAGGAGAGAAGGTATGGAGCTATTTCCTCATGCCATGGCAGTGAGCGTGAGCACATGGACACATCAGTGTCCGCCTCCCGATTCCCCTTTCCCTCAGTGAGAATTTGCCCCTTGCCTCTCTTCTGCAGGGTGAACTGGGAGAAATGGGCCTGGATGGCATTGATGGAGAAGAGGTCAGTGATTTTAATTGCATTTCTCTTTATAATGATCTGCTTTAGATGAAGCATCTAAAAAGCATCATGAAAGCGGCAAATATTCAAAAATATTTTCATTTTTTAGGGAGACAAGGGTTTGCCTGGCTCCTCTGGAGAGAAGGGATACTCCGGCAGGAGGGTAGGCTTTTGTCATGTTTATGATGGGGCTAGATGATGGTGAAAAGGTGGATTTGAGCCAGGGGAGGGTGAAAAGACAACACGTTCGCCTCGGGGCTGAGGACCCTGGCAGAGGTGCACAAGAGTAGAGGCTTTCAGCTGGCAAGGACTACTCTCACTAACTCTCCATCTCTTCCTGCAGGGTGATAAGGGAGTTAAAGGTGAAAGAGGAGAACGAGGTGACCGTGGGCTCCGTGGAGACCCGGTAAATATTGCTAAGGCATCTTCTTGGTTTTTCACCTACTTTCCAGCAGTCCTGAGGGTCATCAGCAAGCATGTGCTCAAGCTTATTAAATGCTGCTTGACAGTGACAGAGCAAGGACTCGGAGATGACATGCCTCTCAATACCAACCTGTCAATTACTGTTTCATTATATTAAAATTCCCCTTCCTCCTCTTCTTCAATGTTATTATTTCTCAGTTGAAAAGCTGTGTCTGTCTGAAAATTCAGTCAAAAAAGAAAAAAAAAAGAAAAGAAATGTTGGTTCTGAGCTATAGCAGAGCAGTCTATGATGTTTGATTTTCATGTCCCAGTTATACAGATGTTTCTCATTGCTCTATTTCTTTCAGGGAGATTCAGGAGCTGATAATACTCAACGGGGACCCAGAGGCCAAAAGGGCGAAATTGGACCAATGGTAAAAGTTTCTTTGTTGTCTTTTGTTGTTTTTTGTTTTTTACAATAGGATGGGACAGAGAAAGTAAGAAAAAAGGATGCTGCCAAGGAGGTGCAGGTTTCTTAAACTCACCATGCCTTGTCAGATGGAACATTTTTCCACTAGAAAATGTTGTTGGTATGCATCCAAAACTTTCTCTGGGAAGACATCAGTTTAGAAGATGTTTTGTGTAATAAAACAATTTAAAAAAAAATTATTATTATTTTACAATGCCTTTTAGGATATTGTCATTGAAAATGACTTTGTACTTGGAAATTAACTTCATATGTTATTGTGGGTCATGCACAAAAGCAGGGAGCTGTTTAGATTATGCCAAATCTGGAAGTCCTGATTCACCTGAAACCTTTGGAAAAAAACCCATGTGCTCCTTGGAAAATTTCAGAACCCATTTGTTTTCATATCAACTCAGAATAAAAATGCCTCTTAAAATGTCAGAAGCCTTCTGCTAAAGAATGGGAATGTCGGCTTGTGCTAGCTCAGAAACTTGATAGAAAGTCTTTGTGAGTTGTTAGAAGGATTTCTACTGATGGGAGAATATCAAGTAATTTGTGTGAGAGCATGAAAGGACCAATTTTTTGAAAATTTAATTTATTTTTCCAGTGCCTGCTTCTTTCAGAGCTCTCATTTGAGTTTTGCTTTTCCCTTAGGGAGAGACAGGACCAGCGGGGCTGATCGGCCAAGATGGTGGAGTTGGGAGAAAGGTGAGTTGCCAGACCCACACTCAGCAGAGGCTGAGCTTAGATTGACAGTAACATTTTCCCCCCTGCCTTCCCATGTATTTTGTTTCACATCATCAGGACTTCAAGCTTAAAAAAAACCCAACAAACCCCCAAAAAAATCAAAAGGAAAATGCCTGGTGGTTTGCTGGCTTATATAGACTTTAAAGGTCTAATCCTGAATTTATTCCCATGCAAGTAACTCAGTGCTCAGAGCAGAGGAGCTACACCTGATTTATTCTGGCATATGTATCTGCATTTGGCTGCTCATTTTTAAAAGGCAAAACCAAACTGGAGCTGGTGTAGCTGGCACATCTGGGGATGCATTCCCTGCTGCACGTGGCCCAGGGACTGCGGCATGGTCCTGCATACATGAGGAAGCAACTCACCTATGTAGTAAAGGGTTGGCGAATGCAAGGAAGAAGAAAACATGTCAAAGATTGATTTAAGAGATCTGATCATGTGGATTTCTCTCTCCCACTCTCCCTAGCAGTTTAAACTACTCAAATGTAATTTTGGACTAAGAAGCAGTGATACATGGATCTGAAAGAAATAGAGAAACTTGTGTTTACATATTTGTGTACCAAGTCTCATAATTTCTTAATTCACAGGGTATGACAGGACGAAGGGGACTGATAGGTGTTAAGGTAAGTGGTGACGGGGACGACACCTGGGGCTCCTGCCACTCCACTGGCCAGGCAGCCGCAGCACCCAGAGAGATGTGCCAAGAGAAGAGACATTCAGGCTTTGCTTCTTCCTCTCTGCCTCCTCCAAATTTCCCTCCTCTTCCTCAGGCTCATCTCCCTGTATGCTGCTCACTGGACTCAGTACAAAACCAGCCATCCATGCACCTGGGGCTGCTCGTCCTCTGCAGCATTCACTGGTTAGATGTTTTGTCTCCCTGTGCTGCTGAAGCAGTATAATGGGGCCAAAGCGTAAAGGAGATTGATGCCCATTGATTACCCTGCCAGTTCTGTGCTCATTCTCTGCTATGACAATACTCTGCCAAAAAAAAACCCTAAACAACTGTTCTTCCCTGCTCTTTATGCAGATGTAAATGCCCTGAGATCTCCTTTCACTCCCCATCATGTTGACCACATCCCCTCATTGTAACCTGCCTTGTCCTATTTTGCACTTCAAGGGTACCAAGGGCTCACTCGGTCAATCAGGACCAGATGGAGAGCAAGGCATGAGAGGACCACAGGTCAGTGAGCTTACAGCAAAGTAAATGTCTTACCTCATGATGTTGTCATGTTATTTCACCACAACCACTTCCTCAAAGAGTCTTAGCAGTGAGGACTTTTGGAATTTAGGTGTTTTCGAGTGTGCTGTGGCCTGGCTGTCCTGACCCGGGACGTAAAGCCTGCCATTGCATTTAAATCACCCAAGGTGTGATGTATTTGAACACCACCTCTTGAGCGCTGTAGCATTTGGTTTCCCCTGCAATCTTGTGTAGCACTGGTGTGTTTTTGCCCCCATGTGTGTTGACACAGTCTCTCTTTTCTCCCTGCGCAGGGTCCACCCGGCCAGCTTGGCA